CCTCCCTCACAATATCTTTAGACAACTTTCACATCATCTTCCACACATCCTTACCTTTCTCACACACAAACAATGATTCAAAAGAACCAATCTAATCATATCTCTCTATTAATCTAGTTGTTTGAGGTTATGAAAAAAATGAGAAAAATATATAACATGAAACATTAAATGACGGTTACATTGGAGACATTTGGCACCGACGTGATTTCCATCACAACCAAAGGTACATGTTCCATTGTTTGCCTGACAAGTTTCGTTAATACAGTTGATGCTACAGGGCTCCTCACACTTCTCTCCGTAACGGGTCGGTATACAACCTGTCAAAATTAAGTTTCTTTTAGAAATAATACTAGTACTCCTAATATTGATCTTTTAAAGTTTTTATACAAAGTGGCCTTTATTTACTAAGATTAATTACAAAAATGAAAAACAGACCGATTAGTCGTTGTTAAAAAGCTGAAGATTGCCAAAATATTTGTTGCTCTTTCATATTTGGAGTGATTTAAAAAGGATACTTTCAATTTCAAAGTGAATTAATGTTTGTATCTAAAGCTAGCTTTTCAATATTTATTTGAAATTTTTATTGTAAATTTTAAAAAATGAGTAAAAATTTCTTTTTTAGACCTTTGCAGATGCTACTGATCATTATCTTCAATTTCTTCATACTTACTTTGGCACATCGATCCTGTAAAGTAGGTTTTGCATCCTTCGACACAGGTTCCATTGTCATAATCACAAATCTCATTCAAACAGGGAACGCTACATCTCTCCGTACAGTTAACTCCCCAAAATCCAGGCCTACATCCACGATTACAGGATCCGCTGTATTTGTCGCAAGATCCCATATAACAATTCGAAGGACAGTTGTATTTACAGGTTTGTCCCCAGTGTCCTCCTCCACACCTGTCACATACACCATTTGAGTAACAGGTATCCCCAAAACAGTCAGTGCTGCATCCTGAAAAATAAGTATATACGTGTATAACCCTAAAAATATGACACTTGAAATTTATCATCAGAATTTAATTCAGTCTTTAGATATTAGATGAAACTTTTTCGAACCAACTGTCTGATGATATAGGAACAATTCTTACTTTTATTTATATTACTGAAATATATGAAAATAACGAACTGCATGAGTAACATGTTTCTTTTAATGTGTGCTCGTATTACCATTTTTATTAAAAATGAAAAATCTCAATATAATTTATAAACGTGCTTGTATGGAGTTACCAAAAATATCTATTTCACAGATTTCTAGCATGGGCCCATGCTCTAGTGGAGGATTTTCGGGAGCATTATATGTGGTTTCTATGATGACGTATTGTGCTGTTTGTTTACAAGTAATGTCAATCACAGCAGGGTGCGTGGTTGGGTATGTAGTGTTGTCCTTGTAGCATCGCATCCTCTGTGGTGTTGATGTGGTGGAGACAGCTGCTGATGTGTTTGATACATCCAAGTAAAATTGACGAAATCGGTAAGGTTTCCAATTATCTTCTAAATGTACAAAATAAAAAATATATTATATGATTAATTGTCCGTCACTTCAACATTGTTCAATGCAAAAAAAAAAAATTACTAAAAGAAGACATTGACTTCTCAAAATATCCTCGTCATTATGTTTCATTGTACCCGTAGCTTCCTTTAAATATTTTCACGAAATTTAAAGTATCAAACAATTAAAAAAATAGACATGTATTTATTATAAGAATTATTCTGAATTTGTGGCCATAAGTTAAATGTGTTCATATATGCTTTATGAGGTCATTCAAAAATATAGACTTTATCAATATTGTTGTTCACTAGTATCAGTATGTAGTACACTTTTTCGATGTACAATTCAAACGTTCAAATTGATATCACTCTCATGATCAGATAGTTCTCTTTGCAAAAAAAAAAAAAAAAAAAAATAGCGAGCATCGAGTAGATAGACAATTTAGACAAAAAATGTAAAGAACAAAGAGTTTCTGAGTTGTTGAGACTTTGAAACTTTTGAGTCGGAGAAACACATTAAGTGCCTGGTCCTTTTTTTGTTTTCTGGATTTTAAGAAAGAGTTCATAGTGATATGCGCTTTACTGTAATTAGAACAATTTATCGACTTTAAAAAGTAAGTTACGCTGTTCTCACAATAACTGGCAAGAGTGAAAAGTTTTGAGTAACTTTCACATCGCTGTTTTTAGCGTGTACATATATTTTAATTCTTCTTGATGACGAGATCGACATGCTGGTTTTCAAATTATACAATGTAACGTCTATTTAATCAGATGATTTATACATGTATTTAGAAAGGTCTTGACACAGGCATTACACAAGTTTCAAGCCCTATTTTTTCTAATTCAAAAGTCATAACCAAAGATAAAGTTTTTGAAAAGCAGGTCAAACTTCTCATTCAGTTAAGAAATTGGAAGTTATTGGCAATTCAAAATAATGTTTAAATTTTTACAAGTAGGTCAAACTTCAAGGTCAAGTCACGGGGTCAAGAATCATAGTGTAAAAATCAAACCTTAAAAAGGTCTTTTCACAGGTAATATTATAGGATTAAACGTTCCTTTTGAAAAATTTATCGATGTGTAAACTCTTGACATTTTACTCACAAACTGAATAAAAGTGCGAAGCACTTTTATGTTAAGTTTGTGAGTAAAATGTCAAGAGTTTACACATCGATAAATTTTTCAAAAAGAATGTTTAATTCTTATAATTCCAATATCGAATTTTTAAATATATTCAAATTATTTCTCTTTGAGGCCTCCATACAATCCGTTAGTTCTGGACGGCGTAGGAATACATTTTACCGCAAACGAACGTAATCGATATGAATTTCGATAGAGTTCAGCTTAAATTGTCAAAACAATCGATAAATAAACTTATAAAGACTTATCGAATGTTGTTTAAGTCAACAAATATCGTAATTACGAGTTTACTTCAGAATAGTTCGTCCTTGACCATGGCCATGTTGACATAAACGACAACTCTCATAGCCAAAGTTGCAGACCGACGACGCCTTCGATTTGCACTTGTTTGTTCAAAGATTGAGGAACAATATAGAAAGTAAATATGAATTTGATGCTTATAGGGCAAGAGTTTGAGGTACGTTTCTTTTCCCTGTCTAAACGATACAAACTGAGTTGATTATCTTCGTATTATGAACGTTGAGACAGCGATTTTTAAAATTCACACTGGTGATCGAACAGTGACATTAACATTTTCATGGCGTCCGTCAGCTGGGCAGCCTAGCATGTCGCCAGTTTTGTTTTAATTAATTAAATTTGAAGTTTCTTCTATTTATAATTTATCCAAAACAGACAATAAATAACTGCTTTCGTTGTTTATACGATAAACTACATGTAGAAGCTTAGTCAAAAAAGTAGTTCTGATTGACAAAAAAATTTATCGATGTGTAAAAATTTTCTTAAACGTGTTCTCGTCCAATCAAAACACAGGAATTCAATAGATACAATGAAGATTGGAATTATACATGTGTAATATGAAAGCCCTATCTCTTTTCATTCGAAGGATATGACCGAGGTTTAAGTTTATGTGACGGACGGACGAACAGAACCGCACATTGACAGACGGACAGACGAATGAGATTTAATGTCCCCTCGCTCTCGCAAAAGGGGGTGACAACAATGTCAATTTAGAGCAGAGGAAATACGGACCTCTAAAATCATGGGGCAAGGTGGGATCATTTGAAGGAGTAAACATCTGTTGATCGGTAATTATAAAAGTACATTTCAATATACACGTATGTTGCTTTTAAATTTGGTTAAATAAATATGATGAAGAGCGACGATGAAAGCGGTTTTAAAGGAAGTCAGTATATCTATTTCAACAAAATTGAAAGAGTTAGTTTCTTGGAATTCAATTTCAATAAGTTTTCGACAAAAAGTAATGAGAGCTAATGAATTTGTGCTTGGAATGTCAACTCTTATTTTATCAATCGACATATTTATTACATAGAACTGAGTTGATATTATGTTGATAGAGAAATTAAAACGTTTGAATGGCTACTTTGAAAATTAATGTTTGTAGGTTTATGTAATCTAGAGTTTTCAAAAGAGGTTAATCAAATCACGTAAAAAGTAACTTCTCAGCGAAAGAAGATTTCTAAATCAAATCAATATCTTCAGAGGTTTCAGCATAATAGATTTATCTATGTACGTACCATTCCTGTAATATATTGTCACAGAGTTTACTCTATAGGGTCTCCTCAGGTCAACCTGAAACCACGCTTTTGTTCTGCCTGGCGCTGTATGTGAGCACTGTAAATATGATCTCTGATTGTAATTCCCATCAACAGCTTTTGTTGCAGGTAGACCTACTCTGTCTGAGCTTTGTGATGCAATTATATCTGTTTTTCTGCATAAGTTTTCTAAAAATGGATATATTGGTGTAAAAATGAATGTCAAACAATATAAATCTATTTCAGAATATTCATTAAATTAATTGAAATCCAAATACATTGCAGATGCTGCAAACTTGATAGCAAAGTTCGAAAACTTCGCTTTTGTAGGTTTAATTCCATTTTCAAGAACCCTCAGAAAAGCGAATATTAATTCCCAATTCCCGTCTTCATTTTCTGCATTCATAATGTGGCACATTTGCAGGTACGAGGGGTTATCAAAAAGTTCGTGGACTAGCGCCATAAAATTAAAACCGCTTAAGGTACATCAATGAATTTTGAAATATCTAGTTAGCATCATCTTTTCTATCCAAAGAATAAACCACAGATCATGAATTTTATTTTTTAATAAATTAGTAATGTTTTTGTAAGCAATGGTATGTCCAAGCGGCGCAACCTCGAAAACAACGTTTTTTGGACCTATGTGTAACTGAGAAAAATTCCTTTGATATAATTATTTGACATTCAAAAATCCCGTTAATTCAGGTACGTGTTGGGACACAATTGTTCTATAAAATATGAAATTTTCACTTCGTTCTGGAAGTTCTATGAAATTTTATAGTAAATTTTATACGGAATATCCAAACAAATGAGGCCTTGAAAATGACGCCAAAAGGGGGAGGGGTTTCCGTTTCCAACATTCTATAAAGTTTTGCCCCTGAATAAACTAGTATAGACCTAAAATATGTTGAAACTGGCTACAGAGAAACAATATGCACCCAAAGTACTTGTCTTTTAATGTCAAAATAGATTCAGAGAGTATAGGGATACACAATTTATGTCGATTTGCAGTCAAGGTGTGAAAAATCAATCTCTTCAAAAATGACGTTGATCATGTGTTGTAGATATTGAAATCCAAAAAACAAAATATACTGGTAGAATCAAGCGCGGATCTCTCCCAATGTATTCATCCATCTGGAATATTATATTCATTGAAGGCCACTGTTCATGACATTGTAAAGTTATACAAACAAGGCGGGTTTAAGTCCTTACTCAGCTCCAGGGAATCTCATCAAAAATGTGTATGAAGTAGAAGAAGAGGACATTGCAAAAACAATGACGTTATCGGACGTCATGAAAATAAACGACGACAGCGCCGGGTGATCATATAATGTCGTTTTCATTTTGCTATAATTTAGCAAATAATGAACGTATCAGGCTAAAATTATCAACTTTTCTTCATTTTGTGTTGTTTTATGTTCGATATAAATTTGGAAAGCACAGACTACATATTATCAATTTTATAGCCTCTGCCTACGAACTTTTTGATAACCCCTCGTATATATTATTATCTAATGCAAAATATTCCTCATCAGTAATTGATCAGCAATTCAATTGTTGATATTTCTATTATTAGTGTTAATTTATTAATATTCGTCAATAAGATTTCTAACGAAAAAAAAACTATAAAATGTAACCGAATTTCCTCAGTGAAATAATATCTGCATTGATATAAATTTAAATTACTCTATAAACATAAAAATTTATAACACATTTTAATATTATCTTTTCTTAGAAATATTCTTATTTTCATTTTAAAAAATAGTCTGGATATAAATAGCAAAACAAAATTAGTCCTTTTGTGGTCAATAGATGAATACATGTTTGTACACACAAATGTTCCTGATTTTGTGACATTCATACTTACCTAACGCATTTTACACTGCACACCAAGAGAGTAAAAGGCAGTCTGTGCCCATTAACAGCTTGCCATTTCACCAACAAACATTTAGTTAAAGCTTTTCGTTTTACATTTAATTTGCAAAAAATCAGAATGAAATTTTTTTTTTTTTTTTTTTTTTTTTTTTTACTATCCAGACAAACATTGAAATAAATACTTTACTAACAAACATTAAAAAATTAAGTTCTATGAGAGAGAGAGAGAGAGAGAGAGAGAGAGAGAGAGAGAGAGAGAGAAATGTAAGATGTAAGATGTAAGATGTGTGTGTATGTGGAGTGACATTGCTTCTAAAAGTCAATTTGTGAATCTAAGGAAATATACAATTATATGATAATGCAAGTATATAAAGATTTACCTTTGATATAAAACAGAATAATCTACATATTACTTCGTAAAAAATCTATCTATAAATAACTTTCAGTTGTAATTAAGCCAACACGTATTTCCGATATAAAAAATTTCTTGTATTGAAAATTAACTTCATCTATCATATTTCACAATCAGGAATAATAATAAATGTAAATGAAATAATAAAATATCCAAACCATAAGAGGCGCATTTTCCAAACAGGAGTAGAAAACATGCCCAATACTTGTTACTAGCCATAACGGGAGAGGAAGTAGAAAAAAAACTGTTTATTCCTTTTGTGAAAAAAATCGCATGACTTTAAATGACAATCTTAATCTTTACATTATGTTTGTATTTTGATAGGTATATTATGTAAATTAGCAACATAAGCACAAGAAGACAACTTGATATTGAAGTTAAAAGCAATTCAAGCACATAAGAGTTTGGTCAAACAGCCAATCAAGTTAATTTTTTTAACCCTTCTATTTGCTTCCCATAGAGAGCTCGTAAATATAAATCGGTAAAAATATTTATTTTCAAACTTCTTCCTTGCTTATTTAATTAGCTTTCAAGTACTTCTGTCAAATAATTTTATATCAGTGTAAAACATGTTTACTGGTTAACAAACATTCCATTCCTCAACATGCATATACTTATGTAAAGGGAAATATGAAATGTCAACCAAGCATAACACTTTTAAGTGTATGGTTTCTAATTGACTTGATTTAGATAGGCCTTTATCTTGCAACTGAGAAACCCTGTTTGTTCAATGCTGTAATCAATAAAGCTATATATGGCGTATCTGATGTAAAAAAAAAATAGGAACACCGAATGTTCATGGACATGACATTTCTTAACTAGGTTCAAATTCAAATTTTTACTAATCTTAAGCTTGAACTTGAATAGCCTCACGTTTCTACTTAAATTGACTTTAAACTATGTCTGATATTAAAATGCGGAGTCGGTAAATAAATCGGTTATTGTTTTAAATATCTGATATAAATATGAAACGTGATTGATTTAAATTTTGTAAATAACAGGTCCTGGAATAAACCCTATTATCATAAAAGTAATATAATAAATTGATTTTTATTAAATTTACTGAGTCTGAAATTATAGGAAAAAAAAAACAAAACAAAACGCAATATATGACTTAAACATGTTTACATAAAACAAGTGAAATAAGGAAGTCAAACACAAAAATTAAGTTATACTATATATACAAGCATAAGGAAGTTTTTTCCTTACTCTCCGCGACGCCTTTCTGTAAAAAAAACAACTCATATATTGAATGTTACATAACTCCCCCGAAAACGACATTTACATTTTCTTTTTTTCTTTTTTTTTTTTTTTTTTTGAAATAAAAAATGAAGAAAACCCTTAGAACTCTTGTTCACCATGCAAAGTGATCTTTGGCACCTTTCTGATTGAAAACAAAAATATTTGAAATAATTTTAAACTTTTTTCTCTCCAAAATCAATTACACCAAAAGTAAAACATTACAACACTTTGAACAATTATTCCCCACAATAAATCAATACGTTTAGGCTTTTCTGACACCATAGACTGGACAAATTGCTTTTTTAATAAAAATGAAACTGGTTAACATACAAACGTGGTCATTGCAATATTATTTTGTCAAAACATTTTAATAGTACGCACAAATACTCGTACTCTGAACTTGATACTATAAAATGCTTCATTTTTAACTGACATAATTTGTATCTTTTGGGGCATTAGAGCTTCCAGTAATCTGTTAGTAAACCTATTGGGGTACCAATTATGCCTCTTTATTAGTAGATGTATTTTATTCTTCATATTAAGCAGAATTATTCAAAAAGTTTTACATAAGAAGAAGAAAACACTTGTTTTGGCCTTCAACTGGACATTAAAATACATATATCGACGACGTACTGACAATTAACAATAGTGAATTCCATTAATATGTCGATTAAGTACATCCCATTGAATTTGAAGTAAAAGACGTTACAGAGAGTCTGGCACAACTATTAATTTATTACAAAAAGTCATTAATGATAACCTAAATCGAAACTTCATTACAATATGACTTCAAATTCTCTATCAACTTCCCTTTTATGTAGTAAATTGAACCTCCTTTATGCATCCTCACATATTAAAATGTAAAATGAAATTCTATCGAAATTAATGATTGAAGTCATCATACACAAGTAACAATTTTACCAAATTCAAATTTGGTCCAACAATACCAGGATCAACATTGCAGTTAATTTCACAATAAACTCAGGTTGATTATCAGTATTAATATTGCAATACATGTACTAAAGTAGACAACTATTTGCAATAACTTTTGGATATGAAGAGATAAAGAAATAATCATCTTTTCAATTTTATTAAAGACAAACAAATCAACTTACAAATACAATAAATACAATAATCAAATCATCCTTAAAATAGACACTGTGCACAAAGGAGAAAATGGACAAATGTAGAATTTTTGCATGACCTGTGTTATTTTGTGCAATTCCTAAAAGTATTAGGTTTCAGAAAATAACAGGTTTCAGAACCTAAAAATTTTATTTTTATGGAAAAAAATTAAAGTAAGAATAATTTCAGTTTGTCCCATAACAAAACTATTGCTAAATAATACTTCTTCTTCCCTGTGCGCAGAAAAGTTGAATAAGTTTCCATAGTTACCATCTTCTTAAGTACCCAGGAATGAATGTAAGTAGACCAAAAAAATTGATGCAATCTTTTTTAAACGTTGTTAGAACATATTTCTCACCTTTGCATGCTCCAGTTTAATGTTGTTTACAAGTTTGAGCTAAAAATAAAAGTGGCGTGACCTTGACAAACAACAAAACGGTAGATACATCCTTTGTTTCTTTCCGGCTCTTATATTGTGCAGTTTTTTTCTCGCAATTTGATTGTCTTATCTTAGCTATATACGAGGGTTGTCCGTACTGTTCGTGGACAAGCTAAAATTTAAATAAAAATGCTGTCATTGATATTTATTTTTGACATATTTATAATCATTTACTAAATGTGAATTAAAAAATGTAAAAAAAAAAAAATATATATTCAATTTCAACTATATAATTACAATCATGGCTTCATTGTTACATTGGGATAGTGACGCGGAGCCGCAAAAGTTTGATTAAAAGTTATTTATGAATTTATAAATGTCATTTGTATTTTGTAAAATTCCGCGTAAATTCGGATTGCTTCTACATTATGAGGTTGACAAAAGTTAAAACGTCAAATCTGCAAAATTTGAATGTTTAAACTTTAGAAATGGATGAGAAATCGAGGTTAGAATCTATTAAAATAGGATCGGCATTGTTCGAAAAACGAACGTTTTCGAAAAAGGTGGAGCAGAGAGCAGCGATAAAATTTTGTGTAGACATCAGAAAAACACCAAACAGAGACCCATTAATGCTGTAAACAGTCGGGAAAATATATTAAAGGAAACCCTTCTGAAGTATTTAAGTGGAATATAAAATTTTTGGACGGAAGAAACAGTCAGGATGACATACGTAAAAGAAGACCATCATTCCGAGACTGCAGTGCTGTAAAAATGAATTTTGTAACGTGACTTTGCCGTATTTCCTTGAATAAAGTCGTTTTTACGCGGACAAAGGATGGATGATTTGCAAGATATGAGACAGAAACTGTTAATTATTATTTTACATACGAAATTTGAACAGTTTGTACACATATTTGATGAGTGCTTAAAGCAACATATGAAATGTATTGAGTTAAACGGTGACTGTGTTGAGAAAAGTTGCATGTGTTAAGCTTTTGAAGTCGGGTAACGTCAAGGACTTTCGTTTTAGTGTTCCGGGTATGAGTGTGTGTCTTTTTTGCATCTGATAAAAATACCGGGTATAACTATTTGTGCTTTGTTTTTGTTTAAAATTTGCATATGTATAATGTAAAACAATAATTCATTGTAAATAATAGTTTCATATATTTTATCAATGTTTTTAAGTTTTATCAATGTTGTCCACGAACTTTACTGACAACCCTCGTACTCATAATTTTTGTGAGTCATTATCTGTATGCTACAGATATCATGAAAGAAAGACATAATTTTGACTCATTATATTACTTTAATTAGGAAATACAAAAACTTATATCAACAAATAATGATTTCCTTTAACTCTAACTAAAACTTCATTATGCCAACAAAGTAAAATTTATCTATATAATATTGCAGTTGCGAAATGCTCATCCCTTGAAGTTCTTTAAAATGTCTTTGAAGATGTCCAGTTTGCTGTTTTAACAAGTTGATCATAGACACTCCTAAAAGATAAGATTTCCAGAAGTCTTTTGTCCCCCTCAAGTACTATTTCAATGTAGAATAAACACAGACTGATGTTTATGCCAGAAAATTTTCACAATGTCACTTTATGCACAAGACATTTCTATGCGCTGACAATCTAGAGCCAATAATGCTTGTGTTGTAGAAGCTACAGGAAGTCCAATAAGGACTAGTAACTTAAGAGTTAACATATGTAAACTAACCTTACATAGAGATATTAAGGTACACAAAAATCTTGAGACTTTAGAAACATCCCAAGTAAGTTTTACCTTTGGTCTTGAGGGATTAATGTTATAATAATTTTTCATTAGTTTTGTTATCGGTTATGAGGTTTTTTTTTCCATTTGTAACAAAAAAGGCAAGGTATTTACTAGCATAGAGCATCTGAGTATTTATTACAGAATAAGAAAGATATGTTAAATATGTTATAACATTCACTTCAGATGGTGAATACCCCGTTTATAATACCAAAATAAACATCTTTTCCAACAGCACTGATATTGTTGGTTTGTTGCTGCTCGTAAAGATGATGTGATGATGTTCGCATCCAAGTTTGAAAGTCCTGAATTATGGGGTGCTTTCCTGATGCAATACAAGGGATTGATTTCATTTTCAAAAGTAGATGTACCTCGCCTGTTTGAGTCATTGTCAACAAATTCTTGTGCCAGGGTACATGTAGTCTGATTGGAATTAAAAAAAAGGGGGAACCGACGTTATTGATGGAAACCATATTTGTGTGTCCACATTGGGATAATGATTAATGGCTTCTTTGACAAAGTCATCAAAAATCTTATCTATAATTCTACCAATCAATTTGAAAGGTGGAAACATATAAGGAAGAAAAAAGGACCATGACATTGTGTTAAAACATCAAGGTGATAAGCTTCTGGATCGAAATATCTTAGTAGAAATTCATTTAGCTGTTTTTTTTTTACCTTGAAGCAAATAAACCTGCATCTGTTAAAAAAATGATCACAAATCCATTCAAAGACATTCAGTGTAATCTGAAAATTTTCTAGATTATGAATC